GTGCATTTAGTGAGTGTCACCCCCAACCCGTCTAACAATTTTGCATTTCCGGTGGATTGTTACCCCCTCTCCTTAATATTTTATTATTTTAACTGAATGAAACATAGTTTTGACAGAAAATTTAAAGAGTTTTCGTCATGGTGTGACGCCTAAATTGTGAGGCCCCCGCCTCGTGAAGCTATTGTGCTGGGTTACTTAAAAGTTACAGGCTTACAGTTAATTTGTAAGTTTGTTTTTTTATAAACGTGCTATGAAATTGAAGGTATTTTACGATGCGGGTTACTAGAAAACAGAGTTTCTTCTAGGCATCTCTTCGGGGGGGGGGGGGGCAAAGCCCCTCCGAAATTTTTTTACCGCCCCCCCCCCCTTCCCGAACGAAATGAAATTTATATAATTTATATAGAAAATATATACTTTTAACAGTGTCCGCCCCCCCCCCCCCCCCGAAGAAAGTCTACCGCCCCCCCGAAAATTTCAAGTGCCCCCCCCCCGGAAAAAAAGTCTGGAAGAAACACTGCTAGAAAATATTACCGTATAAATACACAACTAAGGACGTATAAAATACAGAATGTACTGATTAACGTAGAAGCCCTATAATGGTTTTTGCAAAGGGGCCCAAAAATCCAAGCTACGCCACTGAGATAGACGGCAGCTGTCATAATTTGTTAATAAAAATATTTCTGTTAAACCAGTTTGTGTTGAAATAAATGAGTAAATCTTGTAAACAAAACGATAAAATCAATAAACACAAAGGTTCTAACATTTTCAACATTTGCTATTCCATGTATACGTTTTACATTTATTTTAATCATATACTAAACATTTAAACCAGTAAATCAGCATATGTCATTCAAACTTGCGATCTACTTAGTATGGGTTTCCAATCAAAAATACATGTTATTGTTCAAGGCTTGTCAGTGATTCACACTCTGGACAGAAAATGTAGAGTTATATAAAACACAATTTAAAATGTAATTATGTTGGTGAGATTGTAGAACAGGTGCGGTAAGCAGCGGAGAAGAAAAAGAAAACGTGGGACACTCATGTAGTTTAGTAAAAACATATATGTTTAGGCAAATACAATATAAGCCAAGAACTATACTGTACCTTGTGTTCCACGTCTTTATCCCGAGTTGCCACCCCCCCCCCCCCCCCCGTAGTGTTATATAAGAATATTCGAGAAAGTTTAAGGGAGATTACTCCCGCTTTATGTGTATTACTATATTTATTTCTGAATAATCACAGAGAACACATGTTAATTCAGCTACTTACAAAAAATTGCTGTATTCCACCCACTCTCCGCGCCTTTATACACATTCACACACATATATCATTCACACACACATAAAAAAAAAATAAAAATAAAAGTAGATTTTTAAAAAAAGGTTAATTCTGTAAAGAAAAATAAATCTGTGCTAGAATGACTTTTACTAAAGCGAACACACCACTGACGCTGCAAAGTACATGTCTGGGGCAAAAAAAAAATACAAAAGGGTTAGGTTTAAATTTTATAGTTACTAGAGTAGACTACCCTTAATTCTTGGATAACTGTGGATTTCGGGGGTCATCGATAAAGGGCATCACGTTTATTTGACGATTTTTGTCCCCCCCCCTCCCCCATACTGTCACACATTGTCACAAAAAGCTAGACCCTACATTAAAAAAAACGTCACACATTAGACGACCTGTTGTTGTCATTTAAATACACAGATTTCGGCTGAGCGTGGATCTGACCACACAATTCCTTCATATGCTGGGGTCACAGAAACAGGTGAGCTCTACTTCACCTGCCCAGTGTCTCGCCAAGCATCAGACATCATGATTTTGTCTTTTAAAACACCTATTTCGACTGATCTTTGGTCTGATCACATAATCCCTTCATATAGAAAGATCACTAAAACAGGTGAACTCTACTTCACCTGCCCCGTGACCAGCCAAGTCCGATAGGCAACTTTATCATTCATATTTAAAATGTAGACATGACGTGTCTCGAACCAGTGCGATAATTATTATACTATCATCTCGGCCAACTGGGCACTTACAATTGAGTGCAAATTTATTGTCTTAATTTAATTGGCATCGTATAATTAAGTTAAATTACGCGAATATTATTTTAAATTTAATTATATTCTAAGTTAGCCTATTGCTAAACAAGAAAAAAAAAGATGTATATAAAATAATTAATATATGAAATTTACGTTGATAGAATATTTTGTTCTAGTAGTAAAATGTTAATATATTTTAAAACTTAACGTTGATGAAACTTTGAGTTGTTTACCAAAACCCACTCCAATAACAATAAAACAATAATTCGTTCCAGTTTTAATTAACCCTTTATTTACGAAATTAGGTTCTGAATAATTTTTTTTCTTAAACAGAGTGTTATCATATTGTATTTTACACACTTAAAGTATATGTCAAAGGAAATTTCGTTTCATAAATTTTTTATGGCCCAAACTTATATTGGTACTTATATGTACCGACAGGAATATAGGACATTTTTTTCCAAAAAATTTTTCTTTTTACAAAACAGGAACAAATTATATAATTCATTAACTAATAGCATGGCTATCATTATAACAATCATTTTTTGTAGTTTTCACACAAATACAGAACAAAAGTATGTTTTGAGTAACACATCTTAGACCTCAAACACAGCAAAAGTTGCCGACATGTCATGCTCCCACATTCTTGTCTGTGGTCTTTCTGGTGTAGCAACGGTTGAGGGACTGAACATGCTTTTGCTGGAAGCTTCCAATATTTATTACAATGAGCCGTATAAACACTCAAAAGCCTAGGCATTCAGTACACAACTTCTAGTAATACTAGTATAATTGTAGCCTACTAGAATGCTAGTTATTGTAGGCAAGCCAGTTGATTGCAGTAAATATAACTAAAAAATTAAATCTTACTACTCGAACTAGACTTTGGTATACAAATGAAGTATACTAAACCTAGTAAACGAGCCTGCAACTGCTTCCTTTATTCTTGTTATTCTTTTACTACTAGAATTCAACATATAATTACAATATTTCTTAGGTAAACCATATGCTATCCTTCTTATAAATGTGTAAATATCATTTTTTGAGTACATTTCGATAAGTAATTATCAAAATAATAGTTATATCACTCCACAAAAAAAAAAAATCTGAAATTTTCTAGAAATCCTAAAAAATTACCGTGTGCTCTGACGGTACTTATAAGTCCACTTGGAAACATCGATCTAATACATAGGCAATTTAAAATTGTATAACTACAAGTTAAACGCATTTGCCTAACTATCGAAGGTGCCAATAAAAAATATTTGGAGTTGAAAACTTGAAAAATAAGGTAAAACAAAGGGAAATCAGGAACGTGAGTGAGAACTGTACAGAACAATTGTGAACTACCGATACAGCAAGACATTGAAAATGGCACCACACCATACATTTTAAAAAACATCGATCTCTCCAACTACCTGCGACTCAGGGGAGATAATACTATTAATTACATCAATATTTTTCAAAAATCGTAATTAATTTAAAAATATTACAGGCATTTAATTAAAGTGGTACTTATAAGTACCGTCAGTAGATAAAAGGGTTTAATTAATAGATCAAGTTCTCATTTTTTTTTAAAAATCCTATATTTAAAAAAGTAATTTCAACAGGTAAGTTATAAAGTCTTGTTTGGAGGTGTTTAGTCCCATGACTAAAAAAAAATTTACGTCACACCTGTGGCACAAGACTGTAAAATTATTGTTCGTACAAAATTACACTAAAATATTAATTACTTCACATGACGAATGGGGATTTTACGCCTATTGGTAAAAACTTAAAATGCACGTCAGACTTTAAAATCATTTCGAAATAATTATCAGCCTTTCATAATATAACAATCTTTATATCTGTACCAGCGTGCCCGTCCCGGCACGTTGCCGCGGGGTTAAAAAAATGTCTGAGGGAAAATCTTACTCAGCCTGGACGCGTTCAGATTAGCCTGGTTCAGTTTAGTGAATGACTATAATACTACTTCTTATCCATATTCCATCACAATCTTTAAAGCGAACATATGCGCTAAAGCTCTACCGGAATAGCCCGGGATGCAATATGTCGGGCTCCGGCAAATGCGTCTGATTCAATTTATTGAATAAATAAACGCCCCATCTTATTCATAGCCGATACTACCGTAGGCGCCATATTGCTCTCTGGATAAAACAGGGCGCAAAAATATATCGCCGCTCGTGCGAAATTGATCCCCAATAGTACTCTCAACAACTTCCCAAGGTTTCATGGCGATCGGATGAAAGTGTAGTAATGAATAAAAGACAGACAAACAGAGAAACAAATATACATACATTTCTTTATATATATATATATATATATATATATATATATATATATATATATATATATATATATAATAGTAATGTGGCAGTGAGATGTTTAAATTTTGTTGTTTTTTTTTAACCACAGACTAGTAATTTTCGGTGACAGTTTACCTTTCAAAATTCGCATTAATAATATAGTTTTCACTATCAGCTTTTGAGTGCTGATATTGTGAAATGCGCGTATAGCCCCAGCTATTATAACTTTGTAGATTATCACACAAACAAGGTTTTTAACTTTATACATATGAGAATAGATGTCTTTTAATTAAAATATTTTGATAATTTTGAAGGTAAAAAAATCCGCACTATTTGTTTTATTTTTCAATCACCAATGATGTTAGGACACATTATTTCAAACAAAATATTCCAGACAGAAAATCTCAAGGACAACTAATGTTTTCGTGGCAAAAATATTGATACGCATAATAGAAAATAACGTGTTCTCTTTTAGTCTCTTTTTATAATATAACTTCTGTTTTATTAAAAATTCTTAAAAATAGTAAGCGACTAATTAAATCTACCAAATTAAATAACACTTCATGGAAAATTATTTTAGATCGATTATGTACACATTTAAGTCTTGGGCCATATGCGGCCCGCAGATCAAGCCAGACAGAACATACAAATCTAATAGAATTATAAATCGGTATGACCAAGTGATAACCACGTCATTTGTCTCTGCGCTGTGTGACTACATCCATGGGGACTCTGAAAATGTTTGCTGGAGCTTTTGCTCTCTATTTCTTTCTGGGTTCTGGTACGTTGTTCAACTTTTTAAAATAGTTAAAATAATAAAATAAATATTAATCGCGAAAACCTTGCAGCAAAACTGGTCATAAGTCATAAACGTGTTCACAAATGCAAAGCAATCTAATCGTTCAGAGCTGTATGTTGTTTTATACATCAACCATTGAGACAAATAGCTTCATTTAATACATATTTACGTTTAATATGGTAAAATACAAGACCGCTAACGCGATGGTCTGAGGTTCGAATCCACAGTTCGTGTCCGTAGAACACACTATGTCCTGGAAAGTTGCTGCTGGGCATAGCGCTGACCACATTGTCCTTTCATAAACCTAGGTCAGCAAAATGGGTGAAATCTACATCTCCTGCCAAACGGACAGATTTAAAGCGTATTTTACTTCCCTTCACGTTTACTATACAACCTTATTTGATAGATAAAATTTAATTAGAACTTGAAAATTTGTGCCTAGTAACAAAGGTGTTGCGGTAGTATCGATTAAAAACTCTGCTGTAAGTATCTATATATATATAATTCTCTACGTGGGACCCTGAGGGGCACCACCACCACGTTAACACGCTGACACGCCCTTACCTCGCTCTCCTGGCATAAGTAAAAGATCATATCGCTACCACCGCCAACCCCACCAGTCTGGTGAGCTGTGGCTCGCGCGAATGTTTATTATCGTAGAGTCGGGTCGAATTAGTGACGGCTATCAGGGGCAGATTATTTAGTTTTTAAACGATTTGAAACTAATGGGAGGTAACAATTTATTCTTGATCTTTTTATTGTCGTCTGTAAACTGTCGTCACGGACGGCTGCTTTTATGGGGAGGGGGGGGGGGGTAGCGGGGGAGAGAGAGGAATGGTGAGGATAATCGTCTTGACAGTGTTTTAAATCAGAATATTTTCAGTCGCGGCATTGGTAGTGTCGAATTCACAAATTATGAATTACTGAAATGTAGAAAATAAAATAACTAAATAGCGGCGTAGGATACGCTGCGGGTCGTCTCGTGCACTTTAAAACCTATCTATTACATATGTAGGTGTGTTTGCCGCAGACCAAACAAGCTTGTCTGACATTCTAATCAAACTTCAAGCTATGCAAAAAACTATAAATGAAAACCGAAACAAGCTTCAGTCAATCCCAAGCAAACTTCAAGATCTGACAGAAACGGTACAAGAGAATCAAAACAAGCTTAAGTTAATCCCAAGCATACTTGAAGGTCTGAAAGAAACGGCAAAAGATAATCAAAACAATCTTCAATCAATACCAAGCAAACTTGAAGATCTTAAAGAAACGGTACAAGAGAATCAAAACAATCTTCAAGCAATACCAAATAAACTTGATGTTCTGAAAGAAACGGTACAAGAGAATCAAAACAATCTTCAAGCAATACCAAGCAAACTTGAAGATCTGAAAAAAACTGTACAAGAGGATCAAAACAATCTTAAGTTAATCCCAAGCAAACTTGAAGATCTGAAAAAAACGGTACAAGAGAATCAAAACAAGCTTCAGGCAATACCAAGCAAATTTGAATATCTTACGGAAAGCCTGCAAGATAATCACAACAAGCTCGAAACTATAGAAGGAACTGTACAAGATAATCAAAACAGACTCCTGGCTATTCCAAACAAATTGCAAACGCTTCAAGAAACTGTACAAGACAATAAAAAGCTACTACATGTTTTGGAGGTAAATTTAATTAATTTTAGTTTAATCATTTCTTAATTGTAACGTTGCTATTTCTTCAAACAAAAATATAATGATTTTGCGTCAACATTTTATGCGCCATAGGGCGCCTACATTTTCTGTCTGGATTTTCTACCATGGCCTATGTTCTCCAGTGAAAAACCTACAATGCAGTAGTTATTTTATTGTATGGTTTTTTTTCATAGATAAACTGCTGTACACAGCTATTGAACCCCCTTCTGTCCGGGGGTTTGAACTCGAAAGATTTCGGTTCAGTAACCATGAGATTTACTGGACCGACCAACATCATCTTTTTTATGTGCCCAAAGCATATGGGACAAGATGAAGTAGAGCTCATCTGTTTCAATTACCTAGGCATGCAAGTGGATATTGTGGTTAGCACTACGCATAGCCAACATTTTTTAGCTAACATGAGTTAGGTGCCTATCACAGCTTGATGGACTCACGGTCGTTCTACTGATGTCGGGTTAGCAGGCTAGCTCCCTACCACTAGGCCAAGCCGTCTCGTACCGGTCCGACAATTCCAACCCAAAATGTGTAATCAATCGATTGAAGTTTATCTAGTCTTGTGATCTAGCAGTATAACGCGCGTTTGTTATCTACTAAATTAATTTGTTTTCCGAATACCGTCCATAGACAAGGCTTTTCATGTATAAATTAGGTGGTCTGCTACACTGTGAGACGCGACAAAACCCTTTCGAAACCCCCAGGTAAAGCACATGTTGTATAGCCTATGCTGTTAGAAGAGACCCCCTCCCTCCACTCATGAACAGACCACCTGGTGTATAGCCTATACTAATAGAAGAGACCCCCTCCCTCCACTCATGAACAGACCACCTGGTGTATAGCCTATACTGATAGAAGAGACCCCCACCCTCCCCTCATGAACAGACCACCTTGTGTATAGCCTATACTAATAGAAGAGACCCCCTCCCTCCACTCATGAACAGACCACCTGGTGTATAGCCTATACTGGGAGAAGAGGAAGTACCATCTATGTATATAATTTTCTTCTTGGAGACGCTAGAAAACAAGCTGTAAGCGCGCTCCCTACCACCCCACCCCTACATGCTCTGGTGAGCTGTGGTTCACGCTAAATGTTTACAATCGTAGAGCCGGGTTTAGTTCGAAACGATTTTAAACTTTAGGGAGGTAACTAAAAGGAGGTTGCTTTCCCAGGGGGGGTTAGGGTAGGGGTCGGGGGAAAGGAGGGTTCGGGTAGTATCGTTCTTAACGACCTACTGATAGTGTTTTAAAGCAAATATTTTCAGTGGCAGTATTGGTACTGTCGAATTCACAAATTATAGATTACTGAAAAGTAGAAAATAAAACAACTAAATAGCGGCGTATGATATGCCGCGGGTCGGCTCGTATGAGATACCCCACGAGTAGACCACGTGATGTGATACACTAGGAGAGGGGTCGAACCCTGGGTACACCCTCCAGATATAGACCACGTGGTGTAATGCAATTGAAGAGGGTCAAGCAGCCTATTCCAACCAGTTATGAACATAAAAAAAACGCGAGTTTTATATAAATGTGATTTTATGTTTAATTATTGTGACCTAAATACACCATTTCTGAAATATAAAACACGATGATTTAGTAAATGCTGCAGGGAGGGCATTCGCATCATTATCATTACCAAATGCATGACTCGTATTGTTATACATTATGTAATAATTCAAAATAAAAAATTACAAAACTTATATTATCGAAAGAGTATTAAATCATCTGAAATGTTAGAATAATGCAAAATTAAAAATAAACGTTATAGACTAGTTTCAATTTTCGTTGTCTGTTAATGTATTTTATTGTCGCAGTAACTTATAATCAATTTAAACGCAACCTCTCAACGTTCGTGCTCACAAAATCTCTAAATTACTTTTTTTTCGTCATGATGGGGTTCTTGCACTTTTGGATAATTTTTCCATTTTTGTAGTTTAAAAAGATTAATTAAATGAATAAAAAAGCGTCGTTTAAAATACAGTTTTTATGATCATTTCTAAAAAAAAGATTTTTTTTAGAATCTTACAAGTTCTCTACGAACAGTTTAATATCCGTCAATATATTATATTGGGCCTCATCGAAAATATGGATTTCTCATATAGGCCTATTTGATAATCATATTTTCCATCATCTCAGCAACACACGTATCTTAAAATTGGCTTTAAAAATACCACAGATATGCTATTTTCGTGACACTTTTCGTTACTTATTGTTGTTTTTCTCCGTTCATACTTTTAAACGCTAAAAGGCCCACTTTTTTTTTAATTTATTCAACAATTCCAACCATATTTTTAGTAATTGTTCGTCATGCGAAAATAAAACGTTTGTAATTGCGATTGCTTTCATAGAAAAAAAAGTTTGTGGTGAATAATATAAAATTTTGTAACTTAAATGCTAAAAAATGGTACTATATTTCAGACCTTGTAAAATTCTGACCAGTAGCTTTTTCAAAGAGTTGTCGTGACAAAAGTTTTAATATTTACTGAAATATGAGTCGTAAATGCCTAAATAAAATAGCCGTAACGTTTTTAAAGTACCGAAAAAATCAAAATGGCGGATTTTTTTCGTGTTTCCTTGAAAACCAAAATTGTTTTCAAACATTTTTCAATTTAATAATAGCTATTTTTTGGAGAAACATGGCAATGGTATTCAAAAGGTTTTAAATCTTTAATTGTAAAAAAATAAAAAATAAAAACCTGAGAATATCGCCTTTATTATTAAAATAGAAGTCCTATAGCAAATCAATTTTATTGGAAATAAAAATTATTGTTTTGCTATTTAGTCTAAAGAAAAACAGATATCTTTTTAAAAAGTTATACATGTGTTTTTCAAAAACCAGTTATAACTTACAAATATCGTTTCGCAAGAGGTAATACTGAAAAATATTTTTATAATTTCGTATATTCTTTCAACAAAGCTCAGAATTCAAAACGTCTGAACGTTTGGTTTACACATACAAACACATACACATACACCACACACACACACACATATATATATATATATATATATATATATATATATATATATATATATATATATATATATATATATATATATATATATATTTCTTTTCTCATCTTTTTGTTAAAACGAAATGCTAAATAAACAATTATAATAATAAATACATGAAAACATTTATAATTACAAGCTTTTATAAATGCACTAAAAAAAGAAGAAAAAAAATACAATTTTTATTAAATATAATATTATTTTTAAAGTATAATAAATCTGTGGTTACTTTAAATATACAAAAATATTTTCTTTAGATATATTTATGCATTAATATTTATATCACTATAAATAAAAGCGTGGCCGCTTGTTTAAATCTATATATATAATTCTCTTCTGGGATCAGTTAGAAAACAAGCTGCAAGCGCGCCTTTGCAGTCCCCTCTCTTCTTCTCTATCACTATCACTACCACCCCCACCCCACCCCCACATGATCTGGTGAGCGGTGTTCACTCTGTTTACATTTTACAATCATAGAGACGGGTTTGGTGACGGCTATTAGGGGCAGATAATTTAGTTTGAAACGATTTTAAACTTAGAGGAGGTAACTAAGAGGAGGCTGCTTTCACGTGGGGGGGTAGTGTTTTTAAGCAAATATTTTCAATGGCACCATTGGTACTGTCGAATTCACAAATTATAAATTACTGAAAAGTAGAAAAAAACAACTAAATAGCGGCGTATGATACGCAGCGGGTCAGCTCGTACTTATTATTATAGCTGCCCACGCTTTTATTTATAGTGATATAAATAGTACTGCATTAATATTTTTAAAGAAAGTAATTTTTTTATATATTTAAATTAACCGCAGATTTTTTTATATTTAAAAAAAATATTTTATATATAATAAAAATTGTATTTATTTATATATTCTTTAGTATTAACGAGTTATACTCATGTTAAGGCAATAGAGTTTGGCAACAAATATATGATAAGAAATTTGAAAAACAGTTTTGCAATTTATAGCTAAAGTTTCAGTAAAGTATTATGGGATGGCGTAGTCTAGTGGTAAAGAACTAGACTGTTAACCCGACATAAAACATTGCTCGCCTATTGAACGTGATGATGTGCTTTTGACGTAGAGCCCCCCCCCCCCCCCTCCCTCACTCGCTCCACGCCCAAGACGGCTGCGATGACGCGTGTGAATAGAACTGCCTACTAATTCGGTCTAAATTTTAATTAATTCATAAAAAAATAATTAGGCGACCAATTAAGTCAAACTAAATGTCACGATGAATTGTCTTCATATCTTGACCCACGTACCAACTACGAACCGTATCTGTCAGTTAGAAGTGCCTGCAATTTCACACCGGGCTTTTCGACCTAGACAGACAGATAGACTGACGACGGACAGAGGAAGTGAGTTAAATTAAAGCTTGTAAAAACACGATTTTTCAAGCCTAAATTGAGCATAGACATATTTTTGTCTGGTTTGTGATCTCTGAATAGTTATACAATGCAATGAAGAAAAAGAAACTTAATAAAAAACGTTTTAATAACAAGCTTTTATGTAATCTAAATACTACTAAATCTCAAGTTTGTTTACATGATTGAATATTTATTTGCTTGTTTGTTTGTCTGATTGACTTAAGGAGAGAATCTGCACTATGTAAAGAACTGTAAAATAGTATGTAGGTAGAAAACAATTTTTTTTTCAGACAGACTGTTAATCACAAATTTATTTAAAGACGTTAATTAATTTATTGATTTATTCATTGGTAGATTAACCACGTTAATTTTAAAAGTTTAGAAAAAACAACTTTACTTTGAGTGAATAGTGACGTCACGTGATTTGTTTACTTTTTAGTACAATAAATAGCGGCTCCAATACAAGATTTCGTTGCTTATTCAAATCTTTAACGCGTTATAAAGCTAATTTTCTGTCGACTATAACTTTAACTATACGTCCGTTTGCTGTTTTTATTACGTTCCAACATTTATATAAATTTTCAACTTTCTTTTTTATTTAGTTTTACAATAAATTTCTCTAGCTCTACAATCTGTCCAAGAAAGTTATTTATAGATCTTCTAGATCTAGAATCTAGGTCAAAAAAAAGATTAATTAGTTAAAAATACAATACATTTTAAAATTATTATACATTTTTGAGTTTCTATATTAAACTTCTTTATTCCTTAAATACTTGATATAATTTTTTTTTATTTATCTATCTAGACCTAGAATAGGTCTAATCTAGATCTAGCAAGAGCAAGAGTTACGCAAAAACTAGACTTAAGCAAACGAGTCATAGAATCTAGATAATTCTATCTAGATCTAGATCTAGACAATAATGAGTTTCTATACTAAACTATTTCCCACCTTCATTATTTTATATAAATCTTTGTTTGTTTAGCTATGGAATTGGCTTATTTAAGATAAAATTGAAATTGAAAGTTATTAGACTTAGATCTAGATCTAGATAGGGCTTATGCGCGTAAATCAAGTTGCATAAGGAGACTCAAAGTATTAAACTATACCATAAAAAAACATCCGGGACGTCACGAGTCTAAATAGCTACGTTGTTAGTGTAATAGGCACGGGTTCTAGACACTTCACGTCAATGTTAAAATTTTATTTTTCAATATTTTTTTTTAGATGTGAATGATAAAGTTGCCTATCTGAACTTGGCGAGATACAGGGCTGGTGAAGTAGAGTTCATCTGTTTCTTTGTCCTAAGCATATGAAGGGATAGTGTGGTCAGAGACATGCTCGGCCGGAATTGTTTTTTTAAACGATAAAAACATGTTGTCTGAGACTTGGCGGGATACTGGGAAGGTGAAGTGGAGTTGAGTAGGTCAACTGTGACGTCAGTATATGAAGGGATAGTGTGGTCAGACCAATGCTCAGCCGAAGTTGGTATTTTTAAAAGATAAAAAAACACGTCTTTTTTAATGTGGGGTTTGGTTTTTTGTGACGATAAGTGACAGCCGTGATGTTTTTTATGGATGACCCCCGAAACCCACAGTTATCCATTGGATAACGGGTAAGTCTAGTAATGCACTAAAAAGTAGAAAATAAATTATACACTACTATTTAAATTACTATAAAGAAAAGCATGGGTCTCCTCCTAAATATTAGTAAAGGTATACAATAGATACTAACTATAAAGAAAAGCTCGGGTCACTTTAGTAGCTATTCGATACCTTTACTAATATTTAGGAAGAGACCCACGCTTTTCTTTATAGTCATTTAAATAATAGTGTATAATTTATTTTCTATTATTAAGTGAATTATTACATAAAAGCTTGTTATTAAACGTTTTTTGTGAATTTTTTGTTAGTACTTTACATGCTTTTATTTACAATAGAGTTACATGACTAAAATCCATTGCACGCCTATTGAACGTGATGACGCGCTTTTACCCGTGATGACGCGTGTGGACAGAACTGCATACTAATTAGCTCAAAATTTTAATTAATTGATAAAAAAATAATCAGGCACCAATTAAGTCAAATGTAATGTCCCTATGCATTGTTTTCATGTTTTGACCCACGTAACAATTACGAACCGTATCTGTCAGTTAGAAGTGCCAGCAATTTCGCTCGGCCGTTTCGATCTAGACAGACAGACAGACAGACAGAGGAAATGAGTTAAATAAAAGCTTGTAATAAATAAATTAAATTACTCTGGAAATAGATTATTTAAAATATAGTGAAGCAGGCTACTAATATATATATATATATATATATATATATATATATATATATATATATATATATATATATATATATATATAGTCCTATTCTATTTCAGATGCTAATTCCCATTCCAATCGAAACTTGTAAAATTAATATGGACAGACCTCTTTTTAGAAAATACTACAGGATCCATGGTGAAAAACTGGCTTTGTGTGATACAGAAACTGACGGTGGAGGATGGGTTGTTATTCAGGTTTATTTATTTAAAATATTTTTTAATATACTACACAAATGACAGTAACCAAATCCAAAATAATCACAACAACTTCAAATTTAACTGGAAAAGTTATAATGTCATTGAAAAAGGATTATTATCCAGAATTGACATTTTACTGGATTTAACCATGACCTACAGATAGCTACTGCACTTTCATACTAAATATAGTCGGAAGTCATATCCCTAAACCTTGCACGTAATCTTAAACCTGAAATAAATTGCTTTTAGATTTTTTTTTCAGGCAACTCTTCGGGGAGAGGGGGTGAGGGACTCAGCTCCCCGAAGAAGGTATACCGCCCCCAATAACGAAATAGAAAAAATTCTGAAAGACACTTTGGTCGCATTTGTAGATTTTACAGTCTACAGGTACTTCTATAATCTAGCCCCGTTTCCTACCTTTGGCCACGAAACATACATGATACAGCGGTAGAGGTTATTCAGCGGAGGGAAAGGGACATTTTAATTTGAAACACTGGTGTGCCCGTCCCGCGCGATGCCGCGTTCTCGAAAGAAAGTCTGAAACAAAATTTTAAGATGGTTACAGTAATGCGTTACCAATCCTATATTCTTAAAAATGTTTCTATTGCGAACATGATTCACAGTTTTCAAAGATATTTGATCGAGATATGTACATATAAAATATATCTACATCACTGAAACTGTACAAAGTTGATTAAAGTACTACTTTAGGGTATCAGAAATCAAATTATAATTACATGGTATAACTACATTTGAGATCAATACATAATATAAATCACACATCCTTTTGGAAAAAATGTAAAAACTGTAAGTACATGTTTTGGTTAACGCAACTCGCTCAAAATCAAAAACAATAAATCTCAAGTATATTAGCTAATGTGTATACATACATTTCGTCCATAGAACGTACAGCGCCTATGACTTCTGATGAACTTAAGGACGCTGAACCTAGCGTTCATGATACCGCACATCCTTTAACAATAAACTGAAGTCATTGCAGACATGTTGATAGAAAAGTGGAAATATAAAAATTTTATTGCACATATTTTACATTTCAGAGACGCATAAAGGGAGACGTTTTATTCCATAGAACCTGGGAAGAATATAAACAAGGATTTGGTTCCGTCGAAGGGGATTTTTGGATAGGAAATGAAAAAATCTCAAGTTTGACTATGATGGTGAGTATGTCATTTACAGGTTGGCGAGGCTACATCAACTGTATTGGAAAGAAAACCATGAACACAGTTGTTTGACGGGGTCAACCAACATCTAGGATCTATAAAACATAAATTTTAAACCTTTGTTATAACATATATTTGAATTCATTCATAAAACAAACTTGCTTTCTTAAATAAAATGTTTGGTCGCTCATAAGATATTTTACTTATCTTAGCGACTATCTGTTTTATTAAAGTAAAGCAAATATAATTTATTTTCTTATTTTCACTGCATTTAAAAACTTGTTATTTTAAACGTTTATATATTGTTGTAATTCCCATTTTTTAGTAATTCGTTCTAAATTAAATTTGCAATATATCTATATAAGCTAACAATAAAAATATTGACTGGCGATCTCTAAATGAACGATATATGCCCATCTTTTTGATCAAAAAGAAATCAGCACGATCACTGGTATTTAATCTTTTTTTCTCCCTTTTATTATTCATCATAGTATTTATAAATTAAATTTTAACTAACGTCCAATTAAATATGGAATCTGTTGAGACACTATGGTGTACCTGCTAAGTTAGTGGAAATAATCCAGCATTTTTACAATGGATTTTCATGCCAAGTTAGCCATGCAGGGAAACTGTCTAAAGAGTTCCAGGTCAACACAGGTGTAAGACAAGGATGTCTGCTGTCGCCCCTCCTCTTCTTGGTGGTTCTCGATTGGGTGACACGCACAGCCTATGCAAGTTCTGGAAAAGGTATTCAGTGGACACTCATGGGGAAACTAGAAGATCTGGAGTTTGCAGATGATCTTGCCTTACTCTCGCACATGCTACAGGACATGCAAGAAAAAGTTGATGCATTAGGAGCCATCTCGCAGCGCGTAGGTCTGAAGATCAACAAAGAAAAGACGGAAATGATGAGAATTAACAGTAAACAGGAGGCTCCAGTGATAATAGACGGAAGACAGGTAAATGATGTGCAAGAGTTTGTCTACCTTGGCAGCAAGATCAGCAAAACGGGAGGCACAGAGGAGGACATACGCGCTTGAGTTAATAGAACCCGCTCCGCTTTCACAGTCCTGCGACCCATATGGAAAAGTTCGGCCATCTCTATTACCACAAAAATTAGGATATTTAACTCTAATGTCAAGGCAGTTCTGCTGTATGGAGCAGAGACATGGAGAGTCTCCAAGGCAAGCATAGCAAAGATACAGACCTCCATGAATAGATGCTTTAGACAGATACTGAAACTGAGATGGCAGGACAAAGTGCCGAACTTGGAACTATGGAGGAAAGCTAGGCAGGAGCCTATAGGTGTGCAAATAAGAAGGAGGAAGTGGCGCTGGGTGGGTCACACACTGCGAAAGGCTCACACAAATGTTACACGCTAAGCGCTTGAGTGGGACCCCCAGGGAAAGCTGAAGAGAGGGCGCCCAAGACAGACCTGGAGGCGGAGTCTTCTTGAAGAACTGAAGCCAACAGGGATGTCTTGGGAGATGTCAAAATTAATACTTTCAATGATGGTATATCTCTCATCAAAACTTCTTACTAAATTAAAAAATTTGTATTTAAGATATAAATAAACCGGAAGTGATCTCCCCTAAACTTTCTCGAATCTTCTCATATAACACTACGGAAGATGGCAACTCAGGTTATAGACATGATTTTAATCTATTTTTAATACTTAAACATTTTAAAATATAATAGAATCTCGTAGAAAAAAGAATTGCCCACCAAGTGAACTGCAAACAATATGTGTATAATAGTGCAGAATATGATTAGTACTTTATAAATTCACATGCTTTTTTTTGAGAAATCAGAAATAGAGGAAATTACTACTAAAATTACTGCTTTTTGCCTGCTCAGTTCATGGATAATTTGTTTGAAAGTCTTATTGACACCTAGTCCCAATATATATATATATATATATATATATATATATATATATATATATATATATATATATATATATATATATATATATATATATATATATATATGTGTATATATATATATATATATATATATATATATATATATATATATATATATATATATATATATATATATATATATATATACCATGAAGTGTCGCAACGGGAGACACTAGACCTCGCGACGCCACTTGGTCTATCTTAGAATGAACCAGAAGTATAATGAACATTTTTTTCTTATTTTTAATGTGGATGGTCTATCCGAGATTGAGCCAGAAAATATAATATAATTATTATAAAATATAATATTACTCAATATTATTGTAACAGTAAACCCATAATGACAAAATGTTCAAGTTTATACTCGTTAATATTTTGTTATAAAAATATTATTTATATTTAAAGGGCTACAATGAACTTAGGTTTGACATGAAATATAAAGGTGAATCCTACTACATGATATACAGTAACGTGAAGGTAGGAAACGAAGCGGATTTGTATAGGATAAAGTTTACATACAAGACAGGAAACACTACAGACAACTTTATTGATCACAATGGAATGGCTTTTTCCACATTTGATAAAGACAATGATGGATATGCAGGCAACTGCGCCAAGGATTATAAAAGCGGCTGGTGGTTTTTTGACGGCTGTCTTCAGGTGAACATGAACGGCGTGTTTGCAAGTAATGTCATTGGTGAAGGAATTAACTGGAAAAGTATAACAGAATACAATGATTCTCTGGAATACGTCGAGATGAAACTACGTCGACTTTGAACTTTAAAGATTATACCTAACAGCTCTCTTCAAATCTGTGACATTTCTTTACTAATGTTTGAACATCGAAAGAAATGTTACCTAATTGTATCCATTCTATGTTTTAAGATCATTAAAAGCTGATCAACGAGTCTTGATGTCTGAACTTTTTTTTATGTCGAGATAAATAAATGAGAATTGATAAATTGATAGACGGAAACAAAAATACTTACCATTAAACCTGATTACTTTTCTGAAGTAAAAAAAAAAGTCTGTTTAGTTATAAAAAGAAAGTACTTTCAAATGTTTAACGTTTACTTACCCGTGATGCAAACAAATCTATAAAGGGAGGTAAAAGAAATAGTTACTAGTATTTCAAGTGTGCCTACTTTTGGTAAATATTAATTTTAGTTTGGTGTAACGCTGATTTCGAAAAGGAAAAGTTCGAAGCGCACAAAATTTATGCAACATATAAAATACGACACAATTACGCCTAAAATTTAAAAACTTTTTTTAAAGTTGAAAATCAATCAATATAACTGCTATTTTCCTGAAGAAATTCGAAAGTGATTTCATTACAATAGTTTCGATTTAAAATCACCGGTTTGACTTTCAACGATAACCTTTATAGCTATTGGCACATAATATTAATTACGCGACGTTGCAATTCAATTTCAATCAATTTCAATGACTTTTACTATACTATTTTGCTAAATTCTAATTTTTCACTAATTTCTTGGTAATGATTTCTCTTTCAATGTTAACTGCTCTACACTCATAAAAAAATGGTATTGATTCGCGGATCAATCAAAAAACACATTTTCTGCTCGAGGTTATGATAATCAACTTGATTAATTAAATCCCAATCAATATTTGAAGACTTTTTTTTTTCATTTGAAAAACGTCGGTTGAGATATAACAGTTTACAAAAAGATAAACTAGGTACAATCGTTTAAAAAGAAGCGATACTGATCTACTTTTACAAATACCTGTATTAAATTGCCGATTTTCTTATTGATTTCGTCAGTAATCGTTGTTTATTTTCATTTTCCGTCTGAGAAATAAATATATAGCAATTTTGGAGAGAAACTGCGATCAAGTTCTAGTTTAATGTGAGTTTTGTACTTTAACAAGATGTCAGGGAACTATTTGCTATTTAACATTGAAACTGACGGGTCGAATATAATTTATTGTAATCAGTCATTGAGGTAAAGCCCATAGTTGTATTACACCACATCGCCCTCACACATACGTCTACATCAAGTGACTAGAGGTGTTTTTTGTGTACGTCTCGAGTACATTCACAAGACAATAGATGCAATAAAACAGGGTATGATAAATCCAAGAATATAGGGTCCGGTAGATGCAATAAAACAGGGTATGGTAAATCCAAGAATATGGGCAGAGTTTCTTCCAGGCATCTCTTCGGAGGGGGCGAAGCACCCCGGAAATTTTTTTACCGCCCCCCCCCCCCCCCCCGAACGAAATGAAATTTATACAATTTATATAGAAAATATATACTTTTAACAGTGTCCGCCCCGCCCCCCCCCCCGAAGAAAGTCTACCGCCCCCCCCCCCCCCCCGAAAATTTCAAGTGCTTCCCGGAGAAAAAAGTCTGGAAGAAACACTGAATATAGGGTCCATTAGATGCAATAAAACAGGGTCCAGTAAATCCAGGAATATAGGGTCCGGTAGATGCAATAAAACGGTCCGGTAAATCCGGAATATAGGGTCCGGTAGATGCAATGAAACAGGGTCCTGTTTACACAAGGTACATCACATAGACATTAATATATAATGATCAGCCCATGGCAATTAATATTTAAACATATTACATTGTTATTCATTTATAGGACACAATGAGTAACTAAGAAACTAAAGCTTATTCCTGTCAGTATTTATCCTCTAACCGTACCGTTTGTGTTAGTCCTTGTATCAGCCCAAGGCTGTAAACTATTAAATCATCCCCCACATAACATCGCTGACCACCGGTCAGTATAGCGACCACACTTGTCATGTCAGCAGCCAAATGTCACAATAATTTCCGCCCACCGTGTCGGAAACATTTTTTTCTCTAATACATGGCTCCGAAAATTGTTCATATTTTTATTTTTTGAACTTTGCCGTGAGACGTAAGGAACCTCGTACAACCCAGGTATAAGGACACGCCACACATAAATCGGTGAGGTTAGGGTACAACAAGGTTTAAAGCATCTATCATCACAACCTCTCAGATCCAACCGTGACCTTCGTCTTCAACATTCATCGCTACACACCTCCTACCTCTACCCCACAACACAGCGCTTTTACTCGACCAGTCGCTTCCCTTGTTACCCTCGTGCACTCCGTACAGCAACGTACACGTCAACAAACCCGCTGTCACTCGACCAGTCGCTTCCCTTGTTAGAGCTGATTGGCAGAAGTGTTTACACATCTGACTTGGTGCATGGAAGGCGAGACGATTTGGTGGCGCGTGGAATGGTAGGTTCGCATCCCGTTGGGTTCTGACTGTTCTGTCTTTACTTGGACTATATACCGTACCTTTGTCTACGCTTTACGTAGAAATATCACTTTCTGTTTATATTGCTAATTCATTTACAACGCTTGCTTCCACCCCCCCCCCCCCTCCACAATAATAATGTGTACACACACAAAGTGATCCGTCACACGTACACACCTGTCATATACATGACATCACCACACTTACTCCGTGCTACTTAGTCATTGACATTTAAGTTACAAAACACAATCATAAGTATATAATGTGCAGCACATTAATAAATATACTAAATACTATACATAGTATAGTATATCAGGTCTAGCGCGTAGACATTCCCATAGGGTAAAGTCATATTTTTATTCCATCTTTCCAAATAATGCAAGTAGTTAATTACTTAAATTAAAGTGAACACTCAATTTTACCTATTGTCATCGGATTCATACATATACATATACACATTGCTTTAATTGTTAAAAGATAGAGATTTTTGTCATTATTTTAATTGTATTTTCATTTAGTCCAGCAAAACTTTCCAATGGACGACAGCGAGAAAAGTCTCAAAGGTATTTGAGAGGCCCATAAATTAATTAATTAAAAAAATCATGCACGGCGTAATTACAATTAATATGATTGTAAAAACCTGCCTGTCTAGTTTTTTTTCGGACTTTACTAAAGATTGGATGTATTTGATGTTTTTAATATTTTCGGTAACTTAAAAAAAAATTTAAAAAAGCAAAAATAATTTGCTTTTCACGTGTAATGGCCACATAAATAATGGCATCCTGCTATTCGATAGGCCGCCATAAATTTTATTGTACTCATTATAAGCTAAAAAAAGAAAATCTAGGTCAAGGGGTTTAAATTTGCATTGTTATTTAAAAACTTGATCTGCAAAGTTTTGTAAACAAAAAAAAACTATAAAGAGGGGCTGAAATCGATCACGGAGTTCCTGTACAGCTAATCAATGTTTGTCTTACGAAAGTGAAACATCGGGTTAAAGGCCTAACTTAGGCTTGATGAAAATAAATAGAAATGTAGCCTCAAACTCAACAAATTGTTTTCAAGTTCTCTAGATCTGCAACTTTTATAGCATTGATTCTAAAAATATTAAATATTTTGTATTATTTTTACTGTCCTACATCTAAATAAACCGGGAGTGATCTCCCCAAAACTTTCTCGAATATTCTTATATAAAATAACAGGGGATGGGAACTCGGGCTATAGACATGATTTTTAATCCATTTTAAATACTTAAGTACCACTTCCGGTTATCGGAAATCGCTCAAAAGTTGATATGGATCTACCATTTTGATAAAATACTTATATATGAAATTTCATCAAAATAGCTGGAACGGTACTCAAGTAATCATGTTTACACACGGACAGACACAGACACACACAACCACACACAGAGACAGACAGACACACAGACATACGGACAAGATTGCAAAATTATGTTTTTCCGTATCAGTGAGGTGTAAAACGTCGAGATTTGTAAAAATTTCGATTTTTTTTTTTTGCACGATTCAATACTTTCTCTATACTTCGTATATACGAAGCGACAGCGTCAACATCACCCTCAACTCCCTGGCTCTCAACGACAGCGTCAACATCACCCTCACCTCCCTGGCTCTCAACGACAGCGTCAACATCACCCTCACCTCCCTGGCTCTCAACGACAGCGTCAACATCACCCTCACCTCCCTGGCTCTCAACGACAGCGTCAACATCACCCTCACCTCCCTGACTCTCAACGACAGCGTCAACATCACCCTCACCTCCCTGGCTCTCAGCGACAGCGTCAACATCACCCTCACCTCTTTGGCTCTCAACGACAGCGTCAACATCACCCTCACCTCCCTGGCTCTCAGCGACACGGGGGCGCTGCTCACCCTGCAGGTGTTCCACGTCATGATCAACCCCTGGTTCCCGCAGGCCGACCTTGACATTCACGCGCGTGACCTGGTCATGATAGTGTCGTTCTACCCGCACAACTATTTCATACGGGCGTGCGGCTTCGCCACCGCATTCGCCTCCCTGGAAAGATGCATCTGTGTGGTCAGCCCGTTGAGAGTCAAGCGCATCATCAACACCAAAACAGAAATAGCTATAATTTTTTTCATCTTTGTTTTGTTTTTTGTTGTTTTTTCCCCTCACACTTGTAATTTATAGCGTCAGGTTGCCTTGCGTGTTCGCTTTAGTATTACAGTTTTCTTCATCGGCTTCTGAGGAGTGATACAGATTTACAATAGTAATACTTCTTTCTTACATGTAGCCTACTTTCATTCGTTTAAGATGGTTTACTTATACATAGATCTTATACAAAACGTCTAATTACAATTTTATTTTAAAAAAAAAGCCTGAAAATGCAAATGTGTAATTAAATGATGATTCAAAGGATATTTTTCCCTCGACGTGGTGGGCTGAAGGGAGGGGGGATTTTGGTTTTTTAAGTAGAGCTGAAATAAATTTGTACAGAGAATTAAAATGACACAAATTTTAAGCAACCTTAAAAGTTATGTTGATTACAATGGCGAAATTATTAAAAACCTCCAATCGAACAATTTTCACAGAGTACACGGACATTGAGTTAAAAGAAATGTTTCAAACAAAGCTAAGACATAGACTGGGAACACTCACTTAACATGAAA